ATATATACATACATACATACATAGATGATCAGCTATGTCATTAGTTTATTTCCTTCAAAGTAAGAAATCTAAATGAACATCTTCCACATGTGGTGATTCTGTAATTTTGCCAGAGGTTGTAAGACCACTTGTTTCATCTCTTTATAATTTAATTGAAAAAAAGCCCCCACTGAACTTCATACATGCTTTGTCAAGCAGAACTCTCTATTACAGTAACGTGACAGGACCATTTATCAAGTGGAACTTTAGTTTATGGCCTTTACTGTACCAGGCGTGAGACCGAGAGCCACAAGAAGAAGCGTTCATAACAGTGCGATACCTAAATCACTTGGCCATCCTAGTGACAACAGGTGTCATCTGCTGAAAACGCAAACAGTTATAATAGTTTAGTGCAAGTAATGCAATATATAAAAGGCAAACAATTTAAGGCATTTACTTCATACAGCATAATAAGAATGTGATGGCATTTAGCAGGGTTGCAGCTGTTGTCACGAAATATAATAAGCAATTTCTTATTTTAAAAAAAGGGGGCTTGCTAAAATCATATATTTATATTATAATTATAGATTACGTAGACGGAAAGCTAAAAAAAAAAAAGCTTCCAGTCATGTTGTGTCAAATAAGAAACACAATGGTATGGAAGACTGTTTTTTAGATATATTTTTAATATTTTTATTGTTTTTTATTGCTTAGAAGGAGACATTTCTCCATTCAGAAGTCATACAAGCAATCCCAAGCAAGCACTCACACTCACACAGTTATTAAGAGGAAATGATCGGTGGAAACCAGTGATGTAAAATAGGTGCTGTGACATTTTTTTTCCTTGCCAATATAATTTTTTTTCTTGAGCTTTAAACTAATTTAGGCAGTGGACCAATCAAGTTCAATATATGACCAACAGCTTGCTGATACACATCCATTATTAGATCCATCTAACCAGTCAATTATGACACCCCAGCGATAATATCTACTTTACAGAAACTCCTCATGTGAAAAAGTTCTTTTTTAATCAAGGTCACGCCTAAAGCTGTTTTTAGTGAACTATATTACATATAAAACTGTTTAGAGATTAAAATTAAGTAGTGTACCTATAAGTGGATTTTTACATTTGAAATTAGCATGCTGTTAATGCCATCGGTTATGGAATGCATTACTGTTCTTCTGTCCAGAATAGGTTGTTTCTGGCTTTCTTCCCACTTTTAGTTTTTTGATCCTTGCTTGAGCCATGCAATTAATGCAGTGCGGGTAAAAAATGTCGAGTTACATGAACTACATGTCATTTGCGTCATCTCAGGGAAGATGTGAAAGCTTCTCCCACTGACACTGACTCCAAGCAAATGGCCCCAAAATTGAAATTAGCAAATAATTTACATGTTAACATTATCAGTCAACCAGTTTCACATGCTATCTAGGATATCTTATTGTGGGTACACAACAATAAGATATCCTTTGATTTCCTAAGATATGTTGAAATTTTCCTTTGAGTTCAATATGAATGGGAGCAATAAAAACAGATAATTTCCATTCAGTTTAAGCTGCTTGTAATTAAAACAATGCTGATGAGAACACTGAGAATGAACTAACATTAAGGAAGAATAATGAGCTAAAAGATGCCATAAATTTCTGCAGCGCTGAGATGAACTACCAGAATCAGAATATTTATTACCTATTACGAGGCTAATGCAACTTTGAGTTAAACTGAAAAGAACTGAACCGAGAGCTATTTTGCACCTCATGATACATATTTTCAATAATTGATGGAAAGATGATACAATTACGTGCAAGCATGTGCTTTATGTCATCAGTGACAGTTTAGATTCAGAGTTGGGGCCTCGGAGGAGGAGAGACTCAGATGAGGGAGGGAAGGAGGGAAAGCAGAACCACTCATTTATTGTTTTGTTGGCACACCAAATAGCAGTACAATTAATGAGACAATTACAACAATTATAAAAGCCTCTAGGGAACAGGAACAAACACACACATGCTCACACACACAGAAGCACAAACACTCCTCCTGCAAATACAGTGAACTGAATGTAAAGCTTACCCACAAATATTGTACAAACCACACACCCTTGCCAGATAAGGAGCGTCTGCTTGGATGATTTTAATTAAATGTTGTGCTGTTCCTGTATTATTGTTATTATTATTATCATTATTATTCAGTAGAATACAGTTCTTCCACAGATCTGACTGCTCACTGGAACAAAACTATAAACAAAATCTGTTTTCCAATAAAGACAGGAGAAAATAATCAACCATATGTTCCCTCACTGTAATCCTGCTGATTGAATTTTGGCCTCGTGGGATATATCGTACTGTAAAGTCAGGTGGAAAATGGACTCGGCAACACGGCTTTAATGTGGTGGTCATACTTCAGAGCAGGTTATTACTGTATACTCTGTGTGTTATTGTATGTGTGTGCGTTTTGGTGTCAAAAGCAAACAGCTCTGCCAGCAGCAAAGCTGTTTGCTGTGGCTAATAATACTATTTTAAGGAAGGTGTGAGGAAGTGCTTTATTAATAGTACAAAGGAACGAAAGCCCATAAAGAGCTCAACATCAACTGAAGACCTTTTTTAAACCAAAGCTGCCAGCTAATTTCAGCTTAACACATAAGAAAGGAGATATGGTGTGCTTCTTCAGGGCACTTGTGTGTTTCATTATCATAGTGATGATAGTTATAGTGAAACCAGGGAGTGTTAGCTTTGCAATGAAATGATCAATATACTGTAAACTTCTCCTCTAAGTATTTTTAATATTGTGGAAAATATTGTATATTAGAGCGATTTGCTGTGTATACATTAATCGTTTTCTTACATGGTCATGGGGGCAGCAGCCTGAACAGAGAAGCCCAAACCTCCCTCTCCAGCTCATCCGGGAGAACACCAAAGCGTTCTCAGGCCAGCCAGAAGAAGCAATCTCTGCCATGTGTCCTGGGTCCACCCTGGGGCCTCCTCCCGGTGGGACATGCCTGGAGCACCTCACCCAGGAGGCATCCAGGAGGCATTCTAGCCAGGTGCCAGAATCAGCTCAGCTGGCTCCGTTTGAATGTGGAGGAGTAGTGGCTTTACTCCAAGTCCCTCATGTGTGACTGAAGTTCTCACCCAATCTCTAAGGGAGAGGCCTTTAGAGAAAGTTAATTTCTTGTTTCCACAGTCTTATTTTTTCAGTCACTACACAGACGTCATGACCAGGTGAGGTGAGGGTAAGGACATAGATGGACTGGTAAAATGACAGCTTTGCTTTTATGCTCAGCTTTCTGTTCATCACAACAGACCAGTACAGCATTGGCATCACTGGATATGCAGCCCAATCTGTCTGTAAATGCCCTGCTCCCAATATCTTTCTTCAATGAGGGCAACTCATCCCTGTCCCAGAGTGGGCACTCCACCCTTTTCAGGCTGAGAACCAAGGCCTCAGACTCAGAGATACTTGGAGATACCTCTTATACCTGCCGCTTCACACTCAGCTGTGAACTGCTTCAGTGCATACTAGAGGTCACCAGCTGATGAAGCCAACAGAATCACATCATCCACAAAAAGCAGAGATGAGATTCCGAGGCTTTCAGTAAATTCTTCTTTTTCTCATTATAAGTGAAAATACTTGGATTGAGTGAAAAATAATCCCTGTCTTTAGTAAATAGGCATTTTACTGAGTACTGGCAAAACATATTTTGGGCCAGACTAAAAACAAGAATTGGTTGAAACACATTGTAAAGTTTTTATTGACCGCCAATAAAAACACAGTCTGAGAAAAGATGGGAATCTCTGTGGAGTTTGATTTTGGTATGTTAAAATGGTCATGTGGCTCACGAGGCTCTGTGAGGTAGTGGGCTCCTGGACCCTGATTCACTGAGTAAAGACAATCCCTGAATGCCTTAGGGCTAAGTATGAATGCAGAGGATGGAAGTGTTTTAAATAAGGTTGTTTGCAGTCTGTAGACAACTTTGTTGGTCATCTATCTGCAATTATCTGTCTGTGACAGTGCATTTCAGTGTAGAAAGTGTTTGCCAGAGGCTGTTATGTCATAATATATGTGCAGGGTAGGCATGTGCCTGTGTGTGCACTGGGGGAGTAGAGGATGTTTTGTGTCTGCATTCTTTTTTCTGTTCTTTGAAGAGTGCCAAATGATGCTTGGGATATTTCAGTTAGGAAGGGTAGAAGTTAAATTGTGCTTTCTTTCTTCCTGTACTTTTTCCATTTCATCTAAGTCTTCATCTCTGTCACCACCTTCATGATCATCATGTTTAATCCCACATCTTCAAAAATAAACTTCATTAACAAAAATTTCCATGTAGATGCAGCAATCTGCATCTACATGGTTTTTTTTTTTTTTTTATCTTTAGTTATATGAAAAATCCGCCCCTTGTTCCAACATTTGTGTCATTCTATCTATATTGTTGCATACATGGACCCCTGATCCCTGAGAGCTTATTTGTTCTACCCAAAGTTGTGCACGTGATGTCTTTATATATTATCCCAGTCAGAGTGGAGCTGAGTGTTTATTAGAAAAAAAAGAAAAAACTAACACAACTGAGAGAATATTTTTCCTTTTGAGTGATTTGTGCAATTATTATAATTGTGCAAATCCACATACCATACCATACCATCGTTATTTATAAAGCACTTTAACATAAAACCAGAGTTCACAAGTGCTGTACATATGCAAATAGCATAAGCAACTAAACTAAAATAAAACATGTTAAAACAAAATTGAGTCAACCCCCTTAAACAAAGGCTTCAGCCAATAAATATGTTTTAAGAAGAGTTTTAAACTCAGAAAGAGAAGAGGCCTGTCTAACGTGCAAGCGCAGATCATTCCACAACTTTGGAGCAGCCACAGCAAAAGCACGATAAAGCAAAACATTAAAGACCTGACCAGGCTTGGTTATTTATCTTTCTTTTAAAGGCTGAACACTTTTTTTCTTTTTCATTTTGTTGTTTTTATGCTTAAATTTTTTTTAAACAAAATTTGTTAGCATTTCTCACACCCACCTCACACAGGTATGCTTGCTTGCTCTGCTCTGTAGATCTGCTGCAACCTGGAGGGCCCCTCCAACCAGAAGCTGCCTCAGATGGTGCTGAGCTCATATATGCACATTAACAGCTGCAGTTCAAGATGGTGGAGCTGAATCCCTTGGGACAATTGAGATTTTATGTAGTTACAATATTTATTTTGGGGTTTCTTTTATTATTTGTGTAAAAAAAAAAAAAAAGCAAGTGTATGCATGTATGTATGCACACACTTGTACAATCACCCTCTGTCCAAAGTCATTTCTGTGGGCAGCACTCACCTCTCTCCAGCTACCACCTACATTTCCTTCAGAAGAACACTAAGGTGTTTCTCAAGCCAGCTGTGAAACTCTTCAGCAAAGATGCATCCAAAAGGGATCCTAGTTAAATGCTCAAACCACCTCATTTGGCTCCATTTAATGTAATGCAGCATGTATTCGGATCCTAAGGATCAGACTACATGAACCCCTGACACTGTGAGCTTATTTGTTCTACCCAAAGTTGTGGCCATACTGTAGGTAAGGGAAGGAATGTGTATGGGCCAGCTATGCCTTAATGATTACCTCTTTACCACAGTATAGCAGTATAGTGTCTGCATCGCTGGACTTACTATAGTCTTGTCAACACATGTTTAGTAACCAAATCACAAAAATCTGTCTGAAAGAAAAGTATCTGCTTTTCGACTTTTTGGGAGGAAATGTTTTCCCAGCCTTGACTTATTTTTGCAAAATTAAGGATGCAGATTGAATTAAAGGATTTTTGGCAGTTATGGCTCAAGAGATAGAGCTTGTTTTCTTCTAATTGGAAGGTCAGAGAGTTGACTCCTGGCTCATCCATCCTGCATGCATACTATCCTCAGTCAAAACACTGCACCCCAAATTGCACTGATGCATACAAGGGTGTGTTAATTGGTGAATATAGCTTTAAGGGTAAAGTGTTTTGAATGTTATATGTTACTAGAAAAGGTCTATATAACTGTCAGTTCCTATAAAACCAGTTGTAACCTATGGAAAGAAATATTAAACTCAGTTGCGCATGCTTTCTCTCAGAAGGAAAGTATGTGAAAAGCAAAGAAATGATATTTTGTCTTTTACTAAATGAGCTTTCAGCTGAATTGTTTCACAATGTTACAAAAGATGTTGTACACCGGATTATTTTTCCCCCACTTCATCAGCCTCCCACAATAAGTTACCCAAATGGAAAATAGAACCTCTTGCAAATATTCGAAGTGAAATATTTTCTGCATTTTTTTCCTGACCCTCCTACACACATTTGACCATGAAGTGAGTGACATGCTTGAGTAAACATTTGAAATGCTTTCTGTCCATTTAATGAAAGAGCTTTATATAACAGAGTCATTGTGAAAATAATTTCAAGTGCTTTGAGAGTACACTGAGTATACTGAGAGTTTGAAAGCATTTTGGCCAATCATAATTATCTAGTATCATCTGCACCATTAAGTAATTCCAAAAGGTCAAAGAGTTGATCCTGGCAGTCGGTTTTCCCGTCAAAGTGTTCATAAATAGCTCGAGTCTGCTCGCTCATTGTACGATAAGTGACTTGGCTAAAACATAAAAGATGCTTCAGCAGCTGTTTCAAACAAAACAAAGTTGGATGCACTTGACAATAACAGATGAAAGGTATGTTTTGGCATCAACTGCTTTTGTCCCATTTGAAAGGTTTTTAGCAGTTAAAATTGGTTCCTAGTGTTCAAGCTGCCAAAAAACAAATGGATGTTTTCAAATCTGCTGTCACAGTATGTATGTATATATAACAATGTATACATTTTTTTTTTTTTTGCTTTGTGACCTTAGAGACATTCAACTGTCTCCCACACAAACATCCAGCAGGGTGCCATTTCATAATCTTCTCAACTTTTCTCTCCCTCGGTGTGTTTCAGGTGTTCTCCCAGTCCTTGTGAACACGGCGGTCCCTGCAGTCAGTCCTGGACTGTCTTTCACTGCAACTGCTCTGACAGTGGCTACAGTGGAGCGACCTGCCACAGCTGTGAGTCACCTTTCAAGCAGATTTAAGTCATAACAGCCACAAATAGAATTTGTAAAATTTAAAAGAATAGCTTTATAAATCTTTATTTTACAGCATTCATTTTTGATTCAAAACTGTATCTCGGGCAAATCTATGTATGATACAAAGGTCTCACTTATAGATCATCCTGAAAACCGTACTCCAGTATGCCATCCATGTATAGATGGATAGGGAAAACCTATCCAGGATCCTGTCCCAGCAACAGGCTGCTAGTCTGTTGCATGAAAAATACATAAAAATGCATACATTCATGCCTGCAGTCAACTTAGAATCACCAGTTAACCTAATGAGCATGTTTTGTATGCTGTGGAAGGAATACAATCAGAGAACTCACAGGCACAAGGAGAACATGGACACACAAGAAAAAGGACACGTGGGACCTTTGGCAATAGTAACCGCTCTACCCGGTGCCGTCCAGTACTCCCCTGCTGAGGAATTTAACTAGCTTCCCTGCTTTCTTTGTGTTTAGTTCACCTCAACAGATAATAACCATAAGAAACCAATAAACCTATTAAAAGTAAACATGGCTTCAGGATTTAGTCATCATATTTATGCTTCGCTACTGTACATATACTTTTAGTTTTTAATCACACTGTGAACTTCTGACTTGATGCATAGTTTTCACCTTCTAAAATGAGAGTCTTTTGCTTTTCTAAATAAAGTTATTCAAAAATACATGTTACTCATCAGAAGACGTGAGTGTGTGCATCCTTGAGGTTGAACAAATGTGATTAATGCTTTTATCCATCATAACCACTTTTTTTTTAACCTGTTCCTAATCCGACACTGTTTTAGTTTCCTTTCATCTTGTTGCATTACCTATACCTTATCATGTAATACAATTTGTGGGAGTCTTGGCCAAAGGTGAAAAACAAGGTCCAAACTTTCAGTCTGAGACGTGAAGCACATCCTTTTAGCCTAGTGTTAAACTAGTTATTAAGCAAAATGTCCTAATGTTTTGGACTCTTTGATTGTGTAAAATATGGCAGGTGATTTATTATTATATATTTACATGTTTGAAATAAAACAAAAAAACAACAAACAAAAGACAAAGTAAAAAAAAAAATCAAGTTGTCACAAATCACAAATGTGACAACCCCGTTAACGCCGCCTTGACGTGGCATAATTAGTCTCCCATTTCGTCAAAACCAAAAGCATTTTTCATATTAATGAAAAGACAGTGCGATAGTTTTGACAGATGAAACTTTGCTTTAATTAAATTAAGCTGGAAGAAAAATTGTAAGAGAAAAAGAACATTTAATTCCGATAATTAATTACCTTGTACATAATGTAACGGGATGTCTTCACAGTATAATAACTGAAAACTTGCAGGCAGTTCATTTTTCTTCCCTTTTTATTGTTTTATGACAGTATTATTTATTGAAAGACAGATCACCCTTAATAGTGCGTTGTGCTGCTTTCATCTACATAATAGTCTCATCTTGCTCCCCATCGTTCACGTGAGGGGTTTTAAAGCAGCATCAAATGACCTGTCGAGCTGGTAGCTCCAGCTCCAGTGTTTACAAAACTCGTGATTCTGAGGGTGCTACAATTACAGTGACATGGATTTTTCCCTTTGTTGGTGGTGGTGATGCAAATTGGTACTTGTGACAGAACAAAGAGTTTTTCTTTGGACAACTAAGCGGCGTTTTAGATTTAAGAGCTTCCTGGGATCCCTGTCCAGGAAACTTCTCACTTTTTGATGGTGCATGATTAAAAGGAAAGAGGGCGATGATGCTACACTGCCAAATACTGAATCAATACATACATTTATGTACATAAGGTGATCCCTGCTTCTAGTTCTGTGCCAGTTATCTCAAGTTAGATCCTCAAGACTTGTAAAGAGATTTTTGTGTAAGCCTTTTTTAATCCTGACAAATAAAAGTATTTTCTTTGAGTTGAGGAAAAGAGATAAACAGGTGAAGTGTTTAGATATGGGTGTTGCTTTATGGGCTCAAGCATAAAAAGAAGGAGACGGAGCAGAAGTTTATTTATTCACTGTGTATTCCCACTAGTCATTACCATCGTCTCCGGCTGGATATAACTTTAGTTCATGAGAACCTCTGATTATTTTCTTCACTCTGATCATATGACATTGATTCAGTGGCAATACGTACGTATGAAGCAGAACCCCCTAATCCTCCATAGTTTTGATCTCCATCCCCTGGCAGCTCCCATGGGCCAGCATGTTGACGTTGTTGATCTCATTATTTTCCTTCCAGCTGTGTATGAACAGTCCTGTGAGGCATACAAACACAATGGCAACACATCGGGACATTTTTATATCGACGTGGACGGCAGCGGACCAATCAAACCGCAGCTGGTCTACTGCAACATGACAGGTGACACAACCACACTTACAGCCCCCTTTACTACCATCAACAGTCAACATTTGCTTGTATTAACATTTACATAATTGCACATAAATAATGACACTCAACTGTTTTTAATGCACCTTATGCACCCCCTTGCCTTTTTTCTGATGTTTGTATTATTTCTATTATGATACTACAGAACTTTTTCTTGTTCATTATTATATAGATATTCCAGTCAGTCTCTATCAGCACTTTTTCTGTCTAGACTCCTAGTCTCTATCCATCTATTGATATGGTTTAAATAACTTTAATTTAATTCCATGCTTTTTATTTAACTACAGAAAAACGTATTTAGTGATTTTTAGTGTAGAAGAAGGTGGAAACTGAACATTACAAACATATACAAACAGCCAAGCTAGAATAGATGTTCACATTCATCTATATTAGCATTTGAGAAGTCAGACTCAAGTGCCGTGAGTGGGGCTTTGGCTTTCAGTGGGGCTGGGATTCCTCGTAACAGACACTGACTGCAGTTCCTAGTGTGAGATATATAGATATATGGTGAAGAGAGAGCTGAGTGTAAAGGCAAAGCTCTTAATTTACCGGTCAATCTACGTCCCTACCCTCACCTATGGCCACGAGCTGTGGGTAGTGACTGAAAGAGCGAGATTGCGGATACAAGCGGCGGAAATGAGCTTCCTCCGAATGGTGGCTGGCCTCTCCCTTAGAGATAGGGTGAGAAGTTTAGCCATCCGGGAGGGGCTCAGAGTAGAGCTGCTGCTCCTCCACATCAAAAGGAGCCAGCTGAGGTGGTTCGGGCATCTGACAAGGATGCCTCCTGGGTGCCTATTGGGTGAGGTGTTCCGGGCATGTCCCACCGGGAGGAGGCCTCGGGGCAGACCCAGGACACGCTGGAGAGATTATATCTCTCGGCTGGCCTGGGAACGCCTTGGTGTTCCCCCCGGATAAGCTGGAGGAGGTGGCTGGGGAGAGGGAGGTCTGGGCTTCTCTGCTTAGGCTGCTGCCCCCGTGACCCGGCCCCGGATAAAGCGGATGAAGGATGGTTTTGGTTTTTGTACTGTTTCTAGACTTTTGTTACTTTCTTTGTGAGAAAGTTTCTTTGTGCTTTAGTCTAGTGCCTTTTTTCATCTCGTCTCTGTGATTCTCCATTTAGTTACTTCCTTATTTTTTCTTATTTGTTATCAACTTAATTATTTTAAGCTACGCCTTGTTAACCTGGTGTTTCCACTGTGCCCGACCTCAGCTTGTTCTTTTTTGATTCATACTGTGTCCCTGTTGTTTATGTCTTTTGGATTACCTTGGTTAAATAAAGCTTGTTTTAAAAAAGCCACTCTTTGAACCTAAAAGAGGACAAGAAATGGAGGAAAAAGTTTCCTTTATTTTAATTCTCTTTCACCTTGTGGTGTAATTGGCATCAATCATGCCTGGATATCTCTGTCTGCAGAGGAGAACACATGGATGGTGATCCAGCACAACAACACAGAACTGACCAGACTCCGACCATTTACAGGCGTAAACCAGTATTCAATCCACTTTGACTACTCGTCTGAGGAAGAGCAGCTGTTGGCCGTTATTAAGCAGTCGGAGCACTGTGAACAGGAACTGTCTTATCACTGCAAAATGTCCCGTCTCCTCAACACCCCAGGTGAGACCCCTGTTTAAAAAAAAAACAAAAGCAATGCAACTGCTCAGCTGATGAAACGAGAAGAAGTACAAAAATGTGAACGTGTGCTGACTTTGCCTTTTTAGATTTGTTTACCACCAAGAGCAAAAAATGATTTACTCACAGAAAATGACAGCAAAGCAAATAATCATCTTTAGGATAGTAAAATATTCAAGCAGTGACTCACTGAATCATTTTTTTTAAGTTATAAGAGGCATATATCATTTTGTACAAAAACAAAGCTCTCAAGAAAGCAATCAAACACCCCGCGGCTCCACACGTCTTCCCCGCTCCACTAGAGAAAACAAAATGATTGCTATGCTCATTGCTGCAAACTTAATCAGCATCAGGATTTTCTTCCTGTTTACCAGTGAGTCAGACTAATGGATTGTGTTTACATGTCTCCTTCTTTTAGATTCGAGAATTAAGCCCAATTATTTTGTCTGCGTTTTTCTTTTCGATGTTTTTTCACGGTCCTGCAACTCTTTAATTGACCCAAACACAGCCATTTAGACTGAGCTAAACTACAAAGAACAGCCTTTATATCTAACTGGAAATCATTCATGTTTGTCAGCCAACATTTATCTTTAATCCTTTTGGTAACCAAGCAGCATACAGAGAAAAAGTGCAGTGGAGCACTGCGTGCTCAGTATTAGCTCTTTTGGTACTCATTATGCATTTATAATCCTCTGTCCATCGCCTGTCTGGGGGCAGGGAAGACATCTAGCTAGAAAACACTGTTCAGGGAAAACGGGGCATGAAATGAGGAAAGAGAACTGCAAGAATTAAGTGAGTGGCGGTGTTGTGTTATGTCCCTCTGGCATTTAGTTAAAAGTTTTGTTGTAAGTGACTTACAATAAAAAGGTCACTCTCTACATCAGCATCGCAAGATAAGAGCAGTACGTGATGTGAGAGCGACAGTGAGCAAGCTTATCTAGGTAGTATTTATGTACACGGTATAGTGGAGAGAAGTCGTAATGTATTTTTAAAAAAGAAATGAATACAGTTTTTTTGTATTACACGCATATTAGACAATTTTAATGACCTCAAGCACACAGAAAACACACAATTTAGATTAGGTGGTTTCACTTTTGCTGTATTTTTTTCTCATTTTAGACTTTACTTGGCAGGTTTCTACTACTAATGTATAGGTTACTGCATGTCTGACTGTAATTTAAGTTGCACACATTTAGGAAATTTAAATATTTGCAGCTTCAGCTTTTCATAGCACAATATCCCCTCAAGATAAAACTCTGATTTATGAAGCTGACTTATCAGAAGTTGTTCACGTTGGTTTTGGTGTACATTTGTGTGTCAGAGGGCTCTCCACTCAGCTGGTGGTTCGGCGGACCGGGTGCAGGTCGAGTTCAGACTTATTGGGGTGGAGCTCAACCGGGCAGCCAGCAGTGTGCCTGCGGTCTGGAGGGCGACTGTGTCGATCTACAACACTACTGCAACTGTGATGCTGACCGCATGGAGTGGTACTGACCTTAATGAATACACACATTTTTCTCTACATATGCATCTACTATGAGCCGTCATTTTTAGTTAATTTGAAGTGAATATCAGTGATGCCAGGCCTTATTCCACGGTCCAGTAAGCACTGTGTAATAATTACACAGGAAAAATGAAAAACACAAATAAATCCAAGAGAATAACAAAAGACCATGATACTGTATATGCATTTGTTTACAAAAAATACAGAGGCCACCCTCTTCTCTTAGAGTGCCCTTCTACGTCAGATAATAGCTCATATCAGTCTACTTCATTTTTAATGGGTAAAGCAGTTGAGTGTGCTTAGATCTGTCAAATGCAATAAAAATTGTTCATTTATTTTAAATGACAGTAAAAATTTTACAGAAATTATTTTATTAGAAAATAGAAAACTGATTTAAAAAAGTAACAACTCTTTATTCGCCAAAAAGAAACATCTGTTTCTGCTCCTGGTGAATATATGTGGTTAAAAATTAGTGGAGGAAAAAAAGGTCCATTGACAACTGAAAAGCAGCCATAAAGCATTCTGTCTGCAACAAGACGAGTGGTGAAAATGAAAAAAGTCAAAGACAGCTTGGCTGAAGTAAGTAATTACAGGAAATACACACACACAGTGCATGTCTCCAACTTTAACCTCTTATTCAGGATATGAAACATGATTGACTTGCCCCGCCTGACTTGTAACTTTGGTGGTTTAGCAAACACTAAATCAGCTGGGATAAATGGAGCAGCGGAAGAAACAAAAACAGCTCTAACCTTTCCTCCTGTTGTAACCAATCCTGCCATGCTTCACTTCCTTCCATCATTTCCCAGTCCAAGCTGTTTGTGCAAATCTAACTCTATTTTTACCGACCGGAGCTGTTACTTCTGCCCCTCAATATTTCATCAGATTCCCAAAGTGCTGTCTTTGCTTTTCCACTCTGAGTCCCAGATGTATTTCTTTACTCAAATTTCTAGAGGAAGCAGGATAACCAGCAGATTATCCAAAGTGCAGGAAGCAAAATGTGAGCATAAATGGACAGGGGATTTCTTCATTTGGGGCTAGCTGTTAGGATAACTGCCAAGGATAAAGTTTTGACTGGCAGGAGGGCTATAAATTGGTTTTGAAATAAATAGGTCCCCAAGAGATTGCACCTACACTCTGCAATGTTTGCGTCAGACCGTCACATCATGTAATCTTATTGCAAGAGAGATGTAACATTAAAACACACAAACCAATAAATCTATAAATAAATACTAAGTGAATGTAGATTACGGTTTGTCATCCTGTATTTGTTTATTGTCTTCACACCTTTTTTATTACATTAATCCTGATTTTTCTACTGCCCCTCATGTTTTGTTCATATGCATTTTTTTTCTCCAGGACTGAAGACTCAGGCCTGCTCACCCATAAGGAGAGCCTACCTGTCAGGTCTCTGGTGTTGGGTGACATACAGAGGCCAGGATCAGAGGCTGTGTACAGGGTGGGACCACTGCAGTGTCACGGCGATCGTAAGACCCCCTATGGGTTTTGGTTACCCATTTGCCTACATTTAATTTATGAAAACTCGTATTACTTTGTCTTTATTCTCTCATTTTATCGTCAATCATTTCGATTGAAGAGATTGTTTAATTTAGGGCAGCTGTGCCATAAACCTTATCAGGTGATCTGATAAATTTGTTAAGCACCGTTTACTTGGCGGATACTAAAATTAAACATGGCCAATATTTCAAAAGATAATGTCTTTTTATGAGGGCCAGCCAGTCTGAAGAAAGATGGCTTAAAGGTAGGGAGCAAATCAGGTTGTTTCGGGTAAATAAGGAGGATGTACTGAGGGGCTGCATTCTACAGAGCTTATTTTTAATTATCATGCAAAGCTAGTCTAGATGGGAGATACTGTCCATGGTTTAGGATTAAGCTGGAGCATGTTACAGAAAAGCTTAGTGATAACTGTGTTAACTCACATTCTTTTACCTTTATATCATGTCAAACTCAATTTAAGTATTGTTTCAATAAAAGTGCAGTGAAATTGAACATCATTCTCTCTTTGCACTATTAAAATGTTCTCTGGTGTTCTTAAATTACATGTTCCAGTTCAAATGTGAGATTTACAATTAGCTTAAGATAATTTAACAGGTTGGTTTGTGTTCTTTTGATGTGACTTCTGAATGCTGAAGGTGACTTTTGTTTATTTATATATTGTTTTAGGGAATTTTTGGAATGCTGCGTTTTTCGACAAGGAGACATCGTACCTCCACTTTCCTACTTTCCACGGAGAGCTGAGCGCAGATATCTCCTTCCTGTTTAAAACCATGGCCTCCTCCGGTGTATTTCTGGAAAACCTGGGCATCAAAGACTTCATCCGGATTGAACTGAGCTGTGAGTAAGAGCTGGAGGCTAAACACAGAGTCCAAATCAAACACAAATAAAAGGAGTGGAGTTTTCTTTTTCTTTTTTTTTTTACAGTATGAAAGCACAAGTTTTTATTTTTATGTATCAAAATATTTGCGTGCCATAGTTCTAAATCTTTTATTTCTATTTGTGGATCTTACCAAATGCTCGTGTCCTTGTTATTTTTCTGTGTTAGGAGCAAAGTGTTTGAAATAGTCTGTGGGTCCTACAGAAGAGGGTGACAACATTGAACTCTTCATTCTTGTTTCGTTTTTTCATCAAAAGACTGATTTCTTTAGCATTTTCTTTCGGTGCTGCTTTTGTGTTTCCAGTACTTTATTATGCTTTAAGCTGCATTATTTGTTATTTTATGATCAAATTTTCTTCCCCCACAGGCCGCAGTTGAATGCATTTCACAGTCGTACACCTACACTGATGATAAATGCCGACCCACGGCACTGCATTCACCACACAACATAAATGTGAATAAGACTAAACCCGTAAAAGGGAACTCATAATTACCCCTGCAATTCTTTTTTGGGTTTTTTTTGTGCACCATTGCTTTTAATTTTACAGTTGTTTTATGAACTCTCGGGGGCATTTTCACCCTCACCCTCCATTAATTCTTGTCTCTTATGCAATGCACACATTTATGGTCACCACTGTTGGCCATTTATATTATGACAGTAATAACCAGCACAGTATGATTTAGTTTATGGGTGCCATGGAATTGTTCCTTAGTGTTGGATGTATGCTTACCGCCTACCACAGATTGTGCAGTTTAGAATAGCTGTATTACTCAACAAGGTCTCCTTTTCTTTATACGATTATGGCTTTCAATGCGTGTGTCATTTGGACAGGCTTGAATCAGCTGTTAGACTAATCTGTAGGTACTTTTGGGGTTTCTTTAACCTCACGTGTAGAGCTTGTTGCCGACCTCATGTTGTGTATGCATTTTAAAGGAAGTTGTATAAGAAATGGGATTTAAGAGACACACGTAGAAATCTAATACGGGGTAGCTAACCAACAGCATCTCTCCTCGGGGAAATCATAGTCAGCGTGGTTGTTCCAGCTCTGAATACTGCTGCTCTGTTTCCAGCTGCCTCAGATCGCCTGGTTACACTGTAGCTGGAGATAGAGAACAATTTCTAAATGAGGTTACTGCAGGATGCTGGGACACTGCTTCATCTTGCTCTTGTGCTCCCATAGTGATACATCCTCACCTTCCACCAGTAAAACATGAAGAATGGTAGCTTGCTTCATCTGTGGTCTCCTAAATCATTACCCTTTGTTAGAGAGGACAAAAAGAACAGAGCAGAGTATCTGCAGAATTGTATTCAGCCAGTTGAGCACAGAGTCGCTGTCTGTGGTGCTGAAGAAGGGCTGCACCTCATGGTGCTGGTGCTGGCGCTGGCTCTGGTCCTGAGTCATGACTCCGGATCTCTGAGGAAAACTCAGATCCTCCTTAAAAGCAGCAGTATCACAAAAAACACCTGCAAAATGCTACAACGTTTGCACTTGAAGGTTTCATTTTTCTACATTTAATTCTGGTATAAAATGAACAATATCTCTCTGCATGCTGTAAGTGCTGTGTTATGTTTGGGATTTTGTAATTCACAGTAGAATGCAATGAATCTGATTTACTGATTTACTGGACTTATTTTATAGAAGGATTTTTTTTTTTTTTACTTTGGAAATTTGCAATAATCACGGAGGTCTTAACACCTTAAACTGCTTCATTCATTATTCATGGCAGCTCCTAAATCCCAAAGTGAATATTGTTGTTGTCTTGCTATACAGCTCAAGTTTCTTGCAGCGTGCCTCAGGTTTCTGCCCCCCAAAATGTCCTTTGCTTCAGTGCTTTTGCCGTAACAAGCATTCCAGAGTGTGCTGCAGCAAGACACCCACCTCTGGTCAGTCCTAAAACAAAACAAAAAAAAGCAGTAACACATAATGAGGAGCCTGATGTGGAAAATACAGCAGGACTATAAATCGTAATACATAAAAGACGTTTTAAAGCTTACTTGCATAATCAGCCACAAACCATTGACAGGTGAAGTGAATTACTTCTGATCAGCGTGATTAATACGACATCCTGCTGGGACACCATGTCCTGGTATTTGACACCTGTTCAGATCATTATTTAAAAGTATCACTGGCTGAACTTAAGTCTAAGAAGCACAGCAGGAAATCTGAAAGAGCCTGACTTGCCCTAACAATCCTGTTGTTTAACTCTGTTTGTTTCTTTTCATGGTGCTCTCAACAATCAGATGGTGGTCTATTTCTTCCAGGTATTCAGTACACAACCTGAATTAGCTTTCTCTTGTTTGTTATCCTGTGAGAACTGTTCCCAGTTTGCTTCTTTAGGAGCTTTGTTGGCTTTGGTGTTTGTTGTTTTTGTTGTGGGGGAGTAATTAAACTTCATTCCGTAGAGCTCTGCATCCCTGATGTCTTCTTGTTTTGTCTCCAGACGCTTGAGTCAAACCTGCTTGTTAAAACTCCCATCTCTATTCCCACTCTTGCCATTGGCAGGTTTTAGACTGACTGTTGGAGCTCTGTGGAAACATGCAGCTACGTGTAAGGATTGATTATAGCTGCACTTGGCAAGGGAACACCTGTGTTGTCAAAATAAATAGAGGTTTCAACAGAGATGTAGAATTCCCATTAATTGAGTCGCAGTGAATGTTCATTGTTTGCATAAATTAAATGCTGATGTTGGGTCTGCCACGTCGTGTCTTTACAAGAAGCGATGACTGAAATCTTCAGTCTTTTCTCGACAGCAGCAACAGCAATGAAGAGACATTGCCTCAAACAAAAGTTGAGCTCATTATTTTCAGACTTTTTTTTTTTTTAAGATTATAAACTAGAAATGGGTTACTTTAAGCATAAGAAATTGCTTCACTGCTACAGCTAAGAAACTGCATGATCTTAATGATTACTTTGGTCATGATTATTATCAATTTATTGACAGTGCTTAGCCAGAGAGCAGAATAACTTAATATGTTGTCTAATTAAACCATTTCCTATGAAACAATATAAATTTTTATACTACCCCTTTGCCTCACATGCTATCCATTCTCCTTTGTCAAGCCTCCACTCAGGTGGTTTTCTCCTTTGATGTTGGTAACGGCCCGTTGGAGGTTCGTGTCGAGTCGAGCTTCCCACTGAATGACAACCGGTGGCATCGAGTCCGAGCCGAGCGGAACGTCAAGGAAGCGTCGCTTCGACTGGATGAACTTCCTGTCGCCACACAGGAGGCGCCAGCTGACGGACACTTCCACCTGCAGCTCAACAGCCAGCTGTTCATAGGTGAGTAGCGATCCAATATTCAGATCCTCAAGAAGTAAGAATATTTCATGTAACTTGTAGATTTATGTCTTAAGTATAAACATGACTCTTTCTTTGTGTAAATTTTCACCTCATTAGTCTTAGTTCTGGATGATTCAAGGCCATTTCTTCCAGGATCTCAGTGTTCTCTGTAACTGTCAGCTTTATAATTATAGAAATTTTAGTCAAATTAGTCTTTTTTGTGCCTTTCAGGGGTTAAAGAAAAAGGTTCCCATTAGACAGGATTCTATGAAACATTGACAAGTTCAGTGCTTGTTTATTGAGGCTTTTGGAACTGAACAGTTAACAAATTCAGGAGCCATCTGGATTCAGTCATTTGGGAGTAGACTGCTATCAGATGTCTCAGGTCATGTTTATTTACCACGTATCACAGATGAGTCAAAGAAAAGAAAAAGAAAATTAATTAAAGAGCACCCTAATTAAAAGGTGAAAACTGCTACGTTTGCAGTGATTTCTGTGATTTCTCACTCAAATGCACAGAAAACCCTGAATATGTTGAATGAAATTACAAAAAGTGTTACATTTTTGTCAAAACTTGAAGTCAACATTGTTTCCTTGCAGTTTTATACTTCACTGCCATAGCACATTACTGCAAAAGTCTTTATTAAAGACGCATAATGCTTGGGCTGGATCCATCCTTAAAAAAAGCTTCATATTGCTAGTGATCAGAAACTGGGAGAAGGGTAAACAAAAACAAAAAAAGAGAGCAGAGCAACCAATATTAAACAAAATCAATACGCCGGACAGTAAGCTTTAAATATTATTTGTCTAGAAACTCAAATGTGGGAAGGAAGTTGTTCAGCAACACCAACAAAAATCTGAGTATGAAAGAGAAGTCATGTGTCTTAACAGAAGTCGGGAAACATGAGTAGTGTTAGATTTGTCACTGATAATCTTTCTGGAAAGATTGGAGTCATACTGCTGTATCGTCTCAGAATAAAAAATAAACAAAACAATATTTTCTCAGCAATCAATCCAGGTGCTTATTTTCAGCATCTGCAGACACAATGCATGAGTCTGATTTGTGTGTAGATGTTATAGATGGTATAAAGCAGTTTTCTTAAAGTGGTTTTATGTAGGATGTCAAACATTGTGCAGCAGTAACTTAATCTGCTGTTGTTGCTGCTGAACCCTGTGTTTGTTCAGCTGCATTGGATATAAAAGGTGCAGCATCTGCACATTTATTCTTTGGGTCTTCTACTACATCGTCACTCACAGCGCTACAGCATAAACCAGTGACATCTAAAAGACAATACAATTAGGAGGTCCTGTCTCCTGAAACGTGCTGGAAAAGGAAGAGAAATATTCTATAGCTATGTAAGTGCTAAACTGTTATTGACTAAATGCCAGCTCTATCGAGTATCAGTCTGCTGAGGCGATGGTTTTGACCACTGAATATGCATTCATCAGGGAGCAGTGGCATAATAAAGAGTGTGGTGCACAAATTCTTAATAAACAAATGAATCTGAAGTTATTTGTGAGAAGTTTGTGCAAATCAACAACCAGCTCACTAAAATTCTTTAACTTCAAACTTTATCAATACTTCAGCCCTCGTTATCTCAACTTCATCGCTTCATTCCATTGAAATTATTTGTTTGACCTCAGAGTCTGTTTGTAGCTCTGCAGGGACAAAAAATCCAACAAAAAACTGAAAATCCATTGTGTATTATCGGGTTTTATCATTGTGTAAATATTATGCATGTCACTTCATATCAGTAAACGCGCACTGGAAGGAAAACAAACTACCAAACACTGATGAGATTGGATGAAGGCGGCAGCTGCAGCAGCAGGGAGATTGAGGTGAATATTGATTTGCTCAGTGTGCTTAGCCGATAATCCACTCTGAATAGCCAGCGGGTCGCCACCGGCAGCCTAAAGCCGTGTATGTTTACCTCCAAATTATCAGGAAAGTACACTGCACTAAGTATGAAGGAGTGTTTGAATGAAAACGTGTTGGTGTCATTTCACAAGGTGATTTTATTTATTTATTTTTTATATTTGATGAACAGGCATGAAGAATTTCCACCCATATTCTTCAAAATCTGTAAACGACTGTATAATAACTATTCGTATCAGCTCAGAAATTGTGTAAGCATTAGCCACAACGATGCTGTACTCACTCCTGTGTACAGCTTTTTAATAAATCATAATCCTGCCAGGTCCCTATAGTTTGGATTTATAATGCTTTTGTGCCTTTTGAATAAATCAAGTCTCATCAGGTGCACCGCACAGATGTATTAGCCCATCTACTTAGCTATGATTTAATAAGACACAGAGTTGTCTTCTTTAAATTCATACCCATAATTCCATGAACAGTGTATTTATGAGCCTTAATTATTCCTTGCACTGCTTTATAAGGCAGCAAATTACATTGTTTCGATTAATAGCCCATGTTATTGCCTCCTGTCAGCCATAGGATTGCTTTTCCATTTTTCTTTATTGCCGTTTGTTGGTGTAAAATAGTTGCGCACAGCAGTTTCAAGTGAAAGATTTTTCCATTCATTCCAAGGAACATTTCACATCACTTGTTGTATTGCCTGCTTTGAATAGATAAGCTATAGTTTATTGGTGCGCTGTGTCCGTAAATTTGTGTTTTGCTTGCTGCGAGTGGTGCCATGACCAGGATCTGTATATCTGTCTTGCTTAATAGAAAATTTAGTGTATCTCAGTTTGATTTGCTGAAATATTACCCCACAATTAAATCGTCTTTATATTTGTTAACCTGACAGTATGAATTTGGGACCTTCCTGCCCTTAAACACAAATTTGTGCAGAAGCAAAAACAGTGGAAAAGCAACACGTATATACAAGTTGAAGCAGCTTCAATAAGATGCTTCATACAGTATATGAAGGATCGTATCAGCTGATATGGGTTGGAATAAAGATCCAGTTATTACATTAATCAAAAAAAGTCATGCATTCTATATGGATCCAGTTGATATGATGCAGAAATGAAAGCTTTGTTAAGGGTTTGAACTGCGTAGAAGACTGACATTCATTTAGCATCACTGCTAATGTGATATGAAGTCCAATGATTATGTCACGGGCTGCGATGGCAGACCGTGGAGTGACAGTGAAAGCAGGGCCCAAACGCGAGACTCTAAGTGAAGGACAGTGGATTTATTTACAGGAGGTGAAAAACACACAACTATATACAAAATCCCAGCACTGTGGTCCCGTGGTGATTCTCCCTGAATCCCACACAGTGCAGATGTCCATGAGAAGTGAAAGGTGGCGACTCCAAAAAACTCCAATTCCCACACCGTGACTTTAGAGGCGTACTCCGCTCCCAATTCCTGGTAACACAAAAGGCAGAGGGTTAGCAGGCGATCTGTTTCCTCGGAGGTTACATAAAAGCTCACGGCAGTACTGACGAGTTCTGACTCAAGGATCCAGCGTCGGCCTCAGCTCAGCTGCAGTCCTAAATGCCGTTCCTAGACGAGCGTAATCTGTTGCAGCTGGCAGAGGACGACGAGCGGCAGGTGCGGCTGTCTCTCGAGTAGACCACTTCCGGGTTCGCAGTCTCCTCAGCGAACCCACACCTCCAGAAGCTCACACAGAGACACATGGAGAGACGGAGAGCAAACCAATACAACACACGGAAAACATAAACATAAACATACACTGAAAATGCCTGAGCCCTGGGTCCCTAGACCCAGGCCATGACAGATTAAGTTAAAAAAAAAAAAATGCACTGTAATAAATATTTAGAGCTTTGAAAATGTATGGCGTGTCTCTGGCCTGTCTGTATTGCATCAGTGTATTTATTTTATAAGCCTGACATCATTCACATAGAGCTTACTGTGCTACAGCGTTTGAATTCATCCTCACTACATTCCCTGAGCCAGCAGCTTGAGGGATCTTTGTATTTTGAGCCACCTACACAACCTTTGATGATTGCTTTGATCCCACTAATTCTTTCCCACTTACTCCCCAGTGGTCACATACTGTTTGCTTCAGCTGCAGCATGTACGCGCCACTATGATCTTGTGAAAAGAGCACAATCGTTATTTTATATTCTTACTGATGATGCTTGCGTTTATCTCCATCTGTCTTTTTTAGCTCCACAAGTCATTCACTAATCATTCATTGAGGAATGATCTCACCAAGCATCGCCTTCAGTTTCTGTTAGGGTCCAAATTCTGATGGTTTTGCTTTTCAGACACGTGTTTTAATTATCATGTGTAGTTTCTTGTTACCTTTGAATTACCCAAAACATGCTTGAAACAACATTCATAATTTTAATTACATGCTCTTACATTTCTCATTAAAAAAAGGTTTCTCATTCTGTAAAATTTTCTCTCCAAATCATTGCTTTATCTCTAATGTTCGCCAGGAAATATATCCAGCCCTTTATACTAGTATCAGTATAATGTATCACTGTCAACACAGAGATTAAGTATTTTAGTAAATCATTTAGAGTAACTGTCATTTTGAAAAGCTTTCAGGGAATATTTACCTCTGCACTCGTGTTGCTTTGGCTAAACTGCCTGTTTCAACCATATACAGTTTGTTGGCTTACATCAGAGGAGAGAGAGGAGTCTAGCAGAGCTCTGATTTATTGGTGTGAAAAGCTCCTGCTGCTAAACAATAGGAAGCTGTCAGCTTTGAACACGCAGAGCAAAGCTTTGCCTCGTCTGTGCTCTGAGGACAATAACGATTGAGCCCCGATCTTTGCAGAAGTGGGAGGTTGTCGGGTTTGAACTCTGGCTGTGCCATCACATTTGAAAGGATGAGATGCGTGTTTGCAAAAGTGGACATGCATTTTTGATTTTTCTCCACTGTTTGTGTGCAAGTAAGGTAAGTGTGGAAAGAATGAGCAACGCAAAGTCTAGTATAGGGAAGAAAATCTGCCTTCCTGCTCCCCCCTACAAGACATACAACCAGACACTGGTTCAGACAGTAATTCATCAAGGCTGCCAAACACACAGTCAGCAGCTGGAAGGATGTTATAGAGACAGACTGATGAAAGTTATACCTTTAAATCAGCCTTCCACCTACAGCTTGTTGCCTCATTGTGTTTTCATCATTGTGTCATTTCATAGAAATAGTGTTGACAGTTTGAAGCCTCTGGGGAAGCAGAGGCGACATGTGGATCTGCTACAGATGACAGGAGGAGGAGAAATAAAAACATACAGGCTTGTCAGCACACTTAGAATAAAACAAAGCCTGAGCCTGAAAGAAGACAGACACAGAAATCGATGTTGCATCATTGTTCTTGGGGAGCACACTTTGGCCTTGATTGCTTGTGATATCAGCAATATAACCATTTCAACCCCTCGGGAAGATCTCTACACAGAAGGGTGGAAAGTAAAGATAATGGCGCTTAACTTTTGTGATTTCAGGAGGGACAGCATCCAGGCAGAAGGGCTTCCGCGGCTGTATCCGCTCTCTGCAGCTGAACGGCGTCACTCTGGACCTGGAGGAGAGGGCGAAGATAACACCAGGCGTTCAACCCGGCTGCCCGGGTCACTGCAGCAGCTACGGCTCGCTCTGCCAGAACCATGGCCGCTGTGTGGAGAGAGCTAATGGCTTCCACTGTGACTGTAACCTGTCAGCGTACACCGGAGTCTTCTGCCAAACAGGTACACACACAGTGTAGCGAGAGTCATACTTTAAAAATGTCTGGATGCTGTAAAGATGTCGTTTAGCTGAAGGAGCTCATTGTCACAGGCGCCAACAAATATCCTGAAATTATTTCACTTGCAACGTTGTCAAATACCTATAAAGAAGTACGTGGTAGAAATCCTTGAAGTTCTTAGTGTAGTGGAGTGGAAGAGAGCGAGTATGTCTCACAGATGATGCAAAAATACAAAAGAAGCAGTACTGTAGGGAGATCTGCCAACGATTGGTTGCTGAGTTACTTGGTGTAAACTAGAAAACTGGCACATCTTGGAAGTTTTTACAAAAGTTCTGTTAAAAAGTTCATCTTCTCAGCAAAACTCAACAGGGAAGTTTTCAAAATAAATAAATAAAAGTAACATCAACAAGTCAGACAACAGGAAGTGACAGGAAGCGTTTACATTCTGTTGACAAAATTCTCAAAAGCTGAAGCCATTAAAAGGTCGTGTTTTCTTCTGAACTGAGCAACATTAATGGTTCCACCTGTCTTGACGTCTCTATAGGAGACCTGTTATAAGCACACATGCTGCACAGAGCCACTTAATGTGTCTGACATCTTTCCTCGGCTTTACATTTAATTTCATAAGCTCTTATATCCTACAAGCCAAGGTTAAAGCTGTGGTTATGTCTCAGCTTGTGGTTGCTGCTGGAGGAGTACTCGAGCCTGAGAATCAACTCTGTGCTTACATCCCTGTGAAGTCAGGTAGAACATACTGACATTCAAAGTTTTCTATTTTTGTAAAGTGAACTATAATAGGACGAATTATCATAATAATGAAACTCAAAATAAATGGATATGGTAATAAAAATAAATACGAATATTCAGAGTGGATGTTAAGGTTAAGGTATTCATCTATATTGTTTCACAGAATTGTTTTTCTGCAGTTGACACTCGTTAAAAAGTACTCAAAGTATTTTGGTTTGATGTAAATTCATTGCATTAATGATGCATCTTCACATTGAACTCTATGTCTGGGCACAAACATTTCACTGAGTTCAGCTGGTTAAGAGGACTCTCCACCCCTCTTTCATTCCCGCTGCTGGCACCTACTCTCTTCAGCCTGCTGATGTACCACAAGTGTGTTTAGTTGCTTTGATTCATTAGTTGAATAGAGAACAGATACAACTGTATTTAAAGTTGAAGCCAAACTTTAGGTGATTAGTATTTGTTTTTCTTCCTGCTCCAGTATTTTTTCAGAACATTCTTGTGGTGTTAAAAACTATTTAGGCTATGTGAAATTGTTAACTTAAAGAGTTTTTGAATAACCAGTAGCAACTGAATATTGAAACTGAGAGGCAACCTTCGATATGTGAATTGTACATTTTGTCATTTCTATCAGAGGAAAAACAACACAGGATCTATTTAATCCAATGATCTGCTCATGTACATGCAAATGTGTGCAAACGTCTTGAGCCATCCCTCACTTCTCGCTTGCAATGAGCCAGACATTTTTGTAGTTTTTTTAAGTGTTCATGATCAGAGGTTCTCCAGACTTTCTAAAAATCTTTCAAAGTTCTTCTTTGGACATTGGCTGCTTTTTAACTTTTTTTAGGCCAGTCCTTGTACCCACTTTTTTCAAAAGAATTTTTTGTTTGTTTGTTTCTTTAGGTACTTCACACTAACCTACGAATCATACAGGCATAAATAAAAGGCAGCTAGCTCAAGAGCTTAATCAGTGCTGTGTCTAAACATAGCAGCTTAGCAGAGAACCTATTTTAAATTGTATCTTGTATAATTTGTTCCCACTTTTTTAGTTGAATCTATGAAAAATGTCAGCGATAACATGGCTAAAAAAAAGATAATAACAACAATAATAATAATAGAGGTAGGTAGGTGCTATAACCTTTCTGTGGCCGCTTTCTTCCAGAGGTGTCAGCCAGCTTCAAGTCAGGAACATCTGTCAGCTACACCTTCAAGGAGCCCTACGAGATGAGCAGGAACAGCAGCGCTCTGCCATCCTCCATCTACTCTGACATGACGCTCAGAGGAGAAAACGTCTCCCTGAGCTTCAGGACGAACCAGAGTCCAGCTCTGCTGCTCTACATCAGCTCCTACTACAGAGAATACCTGGCTGTGCTCATCAATAAACATGGTGAGGAGAACACCTGTCTTACAGTAAGACAAAACTTCAAAAGTTTTTATACCTGATGACAAATTTAAGAGGGCTTCTGTTTGCATTTCTTCTTGTCCATGTTCAGTTTGGTCTCTCTCCTCTTCGTCCTTCAGACTTGAGGTTGAATGTCTTCTGTTATTTATGAACCAACTGTTTCACCCTCTAAATATCTTTCTGTAATTCTTTCCTGTTAATGAGCCATCTTTTCCTTCATTATGGATGTCACTTCTTTTAAACGCAACACATTTTCAAACCTAAACCAAAATATTTTGTGGGGGAAAGTAAAAAAACAGAGACTTTCACCCTGTTTTTATATATATATCAAAGTTCTCCTCACCTCTCAGTCTTTCCCCTTTCCTGTCATCTTTTCCACATATCAGGCTCTGCCCTCTCCTGCTTCTCTCGGTCTTCTCCTCCTCTTCTACTTAGCAGCTTCAGAAGATCTATAAGAATCTGTCAGATCTATCCTCTCTCTGGATCCCTGTCTACTCTACTACTGTCTACTCTCCTGCCTTTTAACACGTCCAGCTGTTTTGTCTTTGAAAAAGTGCTGCAGGAATAAGAGTTTGGATGATGAATGGCATTTTCAGCATCCAGCAATAAAATTGGCACTATGCTGCTTGGTTAGCTATAAATGTTTGTTTTTTTTCTGCTGTTAATGCCCTGTTGTCTGTCGGCTTTCTCTGAGTTATTAAGGCTTCATGCTGACCGGGGAGTTGACAGGTAAATGTGCTTAAACATGTCCAGTGAAATCCTTAAGAGCTCTCTCTTGTTCTGCTTATTTCCTTTGCTGCACTTGAACATTCTTCAGCGAAAATGAGAGATATTCATTGTTAATCACTTAAGTCTTGCTTTCAAGAACTTATGCATAAACCACGTTATCAGAGATGGCAGCTACGGGAATGAGCTTTAATACATCAAGTAATTATTCCCTTTTGGTAAATACACCTAATTAAAAGATGAACACAGTGAATCATGATTATGAAGTGTTTCTTATGGGATTATTTATAATTGAAAAATATTATCCTGATAACATGGATGCGTTTGAAGGACAATGTATAATTTCATATCCTTGGTTTTAATCTTAAAAGCCCCAAAGAAATAACGTTGCTTTATATAAATCCGCTCCTAATGCTCTGTATATTAGGAAAATTAATTAGATTTAGAGTTTTGTTATTGATAGGGAATTACCTCTTAATCCTCTTAAAATGGAAAGCTTTATTAACTCAGCGATGAATCCGAAAGATGCGAATCTAAGGTTATTTTTCTTAAGGATGTTTTTTTCGTAAAGGTTATAGAACACACGGATGTTTTCGTCAAGAGAAAGAAAGAAGTTTAACGTGGAAAAACTTTGTGTTTGTGTGATTAAGATAAGCTGGAGGTGAGATACAAGCTGGACAGCAGCAGAGACACCGAAGTGCTGAGGAGCAAAGTGAGGAGCCTCGCCAACGGACAGCTGCACACCGTCTCCATCAGGAGGCTGACAGACTCTGTGTCTGTGCAGGTGAGGAAAAGAACACAAATACTGTATAACTACATTTATGGTTTTACTTAGGTTGTGTGCAATATACACTATACTATACATGCATACAGTATACGACAAGGTGATATGTGCTTCCTTAAATCTTCAAGAGACTACAAAAGCAGGGACTGCACGAGTGAGTAGAAAATAGGGAGGAGCATCTCACCTTACACACAAAATAACAACACTGTTCAATTTTAGCTTTGAAGTGACAGAAGAGTGTAATTTCTGCCGTTTCAACTGACTTCCACTTTAAAATAAAAGGTTACAATGTTTTTTTCACCACCAGATGGGGACAAATAGCACTATGCTCTGATCAATCAAATTATTTTAAAGAATGATTGAATGTTTTGCAGTTCCTGCGTGAGCATTTATTCCCAGATATGCCACTGTGCTCTCACTGTTTTAAAACAAACTCCATTAGCCCTTTGTGAATAGGTCCTATTACAACTTACCCGTCAGTATCGGGCAACCCTGACTTATTTTTGCTTTTATTAACCTGAGTCTATTAACTCCGACACTTATACACTAAAGAGCATTGGATGTTGTTTCGTTTATGGTCCATAGACTTCCACAGAAAAGTTAATGTGCTCCCTTTTCTTCTCTTTTCTTCTTCTCTCTCTTTTTTTCTTTTTCTCTCTTCTTTTTCTTCTTCTTCTTCTTTTTTATCTGCTTTTTCTCTTTTTTTCTTTTTTTTTCTTTTCTTCTTTTTTCTTTTTTCTTTTTTTTTCTTTCTCCTTCTCTTCTCTTCTTCTCTCTCTTTTCTTTTCTCTCTTTTTTATCTCCTTTCTTTTCTTTCTTTCTTCTTTTTTTTTTCTTTCTTTTCTCTTTTCTTCTCTCTTTTCTCTTTTTCTTTCTCTTTCTCTTTCCCTTCTTCTTCTTTCTTTTTTTTCTTCTCTTTTTTTTTCTCTTTTTCTTTTCTTTTCTTTTCCTTGCTCCTTCCTTCTTGCTCCCTTTTCCAGCCCCTGTAATTAAGTCGTTTCCGTTCAGTTTCAAGATAAAGACCCCAAAATAAAAAAATATAAATACGTAAATGTCATCTTCTGTATTTAATATTTTCTATCTGTATGTTATTGTTCAAACATGCCACGCACACAGATTCTATTTGTCACAGATACGATAACGTCACAGCTGTGCATAGGCTCCTTCTTTACTTCCTTCACCATCAATCATAACATGGAAAATAATCCTGAAACCACTGACATAAAATGTATAGCACAGGTGTTTCCCACAAACATGTGGCAGATTTGGCAGTTTAAAAATGATTTGTCTGAAACGAGTTGCCATTTGTTAAAAAGTTTTTTACTTTTTAACCGAAATTATTTTCCATTTGATCCAGTCGCATCATGTCGCTTCAGGAAGGCTCAATAATCCCTGTGTTAATTTAGTTCGAGGAAGCTCCAGTTATTACTGCAGAGCTATGGAAGGATAGCAGGGATAAACTACACATTAAAACAGCTCTGGGTGAAATATGGATCAACTTCAAAATATCTAAATCTCATGAACAGCGTTAACATCTTGTTAACAACAGCCTCAGATGATATATGAGGTAAACTTAATCTAACTGGGAGCCAGCAGCCTGGACATCTCTATAATTATCAACACCCTGAGATGAAATATAAGGTGACCTCGTCTTGGTGCAGTTTGTCAAGACTCCAGTGAAATATGAGTTGCATCTCATCTTACCGGTTTCCATCACCTTGAGTCATTATATTGTTACAACATGTTTCGGGAACATCAGGTGACCTTCATCGATTGTCACCCAGCTGCATCTTGATGGCCAGCAGCATAGACTCTCTAAAGTGGTCTCACAATTGGACACCGTCATATCCTCTCCCCCTGAGCGAATGAAAAATGAAAAACTAAATCACCCTGGGCTGCTAATACATCATGCCCTCTCTTTCTGCACTCTTATCAGATGGCCCAGTGTTTCGTTTCCTTTAGGTTTACTGACACACTCCATTAGATCCTTAAAATAGTACATCAAAGTTTGTCAGAGACAGCAAGATAAAGTTCTGGACTTTGGTGCCGTGTGTAAACACAAGGGACCTAACTGCAAAAGGTACTTCCTGTTCAATAGAACCAATCTAGGTTATAATATGTGGAAACCTACTGTAATTGCAGTGATATCATATCAGCTTAAGGCTATAAAAATGTATCTAGAGCTTATTTCATATCAGTAGAACTGCAAACTGCAAACCCAATTGGGGGACCTTTCTTAACCAGTAATTGTTTTATCAGCCTCTCCCTGCATAGGTATCCAAAGCAGGTAGTTAAAGTGGACAAACTCTCTGACTTCCTGCTTGTCTTTGAGTTTTCATTATTTAATTCTAAGCATGTTTAATAGCAACTTCAGCCATTTTTTTTCACTTGCCTCCACAATTTAATGTAAGCAATTATTGCAAGCAATTTTCAGGTTGGGTTGGAGAGACGGTGTTTGAGTCAGTGTAAAGTTTATTTGTGTCTATTTTTCACTAAAATTCAACTACAGGGACGTAGTATGTTTCTTTATTCTGTGTGAATGTCTATCTACTGAATTAAAAATGTGGTTTGAGGGAACTGCACATCTGTTGTATTTTAGACCTCGTAAATTATCCTCATATCAAGGTTAAATGCAGTTCTTATTTTTCTAGTTAATCTATTAATGGCAATTTTGGATTCCTAGTACACTCACTTTCATTCACACCAACTTGTTTTTTTTATACAATGTGTGTAATGGATTGGCAAAAACTTCTATGTACACTTTAACATAAGTACCCAATTACAGTTTCACCTGCAGCTCATCATATTTTCACACACCTTTAAAAAACACAAATCCCTTGGAGGGTTGCATTAGGAAGGGCATTGAGTGTAAAAGTAAATAAATAAATAATATCCTGCTGTGGTGACCTCTTACAGATAAGAGAGCAGCAGAAAGAAGCAAGCAGAATGGTGTAAATGCATAAGATATGTGATTCATTGCAATAAATCACCCCTCTTCTTTAGCCTTGTATGTGCCCTAAGTTCAATATAAAAATGTGAAAGGTCAGAGCTAGTATTTTATTTGTTTTTGGTCTGTTCAGCGCTCTATTTTCAGTCGCTTATCCACGTCTGCATCTGGGTCGTCTGCAGTTTAAGCAAAGATGCCCTGTCGTCCAGTTCTCTGGGGGAACATCTGGGTAGGTGTCTTGGGTCTGTCCTCGAGCCTCCTCCCAGTAAGAAATCCCTGGTCCACCTCAGCTGGCTCCTTTGTCGATGTGCAGGAGTAGCAGCTCTAATCTAAGCCCTTTCTCAATAACTGAGCTCTTTAGCTCATCTCTAAGGAAGAACCTTGTCACCCATGAGAAAAAGCTCATTTCCACCACTTGTATCCATGACCTCATTCTTTTGGTGACAACTTGTGGCCGTGGTCTGGGTAGCAACATAGATCAACCGGTAAATCTTACAGATTTGCTTCACGTTCACCTCTCCTCACCATAATAACAGCCATCTGTTAATCCTCCCCTCTCCCCTCCCTCATGAAGCTGTTCTGGGCCTGAACCAAAGATCATTATGAATGCTTTTTCCATTTCTCCTAATAGGTCTTGTAAATACACCATTCTGGAGCTTTACGATAAAGAAGTGTAGCTATGACCTCAAGTAAATGTTACTTCAAACAGTAGATGTCTTGTTGAAGTAATCAGAATTTATAATGACTTACAAAAGTTTTTCTTTTTTTTCCCCTTTGATGGAAACTTCAGTTATGATTTTGACTAGGTTTTCTTCTTCACGGCCACATGGTGAGATACTCTCTGTGGAGCTGCTCTAATTAAAATAATCTCCAGTGGTGAATTTCATTCTGGATGACTGAATGTTTTTAACTGCAAGTTTGGACTCTGTTGCTCATTCCTCCCTTTGAGCTGTTGAGATAAAGGAAAAGCTGAACATTTAAAAAAAAAATAAAAAAAATCAAATTTAAAAAGGGTGGAGCGCCAGATTCACGTCACCGCTGACTGAAAAGTAATGACTGGCACGAAAGTAAAACTCACTGCATCTAATAACTAGAATAGCTCACAGAACAATGTAATACTTTGCTCGTTTTTATGCCTAGGGCATTTTAAAATTTTAATTTGATCTTATTCCACTTCCAGCTGTTCATGTCCTAGTTGATGCACTTTCAACTTTCAGTTTTCATTTTTCTTAATTGTTCTAATATTTCAAAAACTTTCCTTTTGTTTTTTTAATCCTCAATTTGTATTCAGATCTTTTAATTTTCTGTGCTTTTATTTGTCTTAAATTATCCTGTATTGTATTCTACTTTAAAAATGAAAGGTTGAACAAAAGCCAATTTATTTATTTTTTTTCTTTTCAGATTGACCAAAATTCCAGAGAAGACTTCAACCTGACATCTGACGGGGAATTTAATGCAATCAAGTCGCTGGTGTTGGGCAGAGTGCACGGTGAGTGAGGACACAGTAAAAGAAGACAGAATGTCTTTTTAGTTAGGGAGCACTCAGACTCACATTTATTTGATAACAGCTCTGAGAAGTTTGGTGCCTGACTCTCAGCATGAGCTTTCTTAGAAAAACTGACTGTAATACATGGAACCAGGGCTGTTAACTGGACAAAGGGATATTTTCATCTTAGTACTGAGTGCTCAGAAATGTTGAGTCAAGAAGTAAACAAAAGATATTTTAAGTAGTTTCTGGGTTTTGGGGAGGCACTCTACAATCTTGGACCTTAGAAACAACTTTTTCTGATATTCGGACGGAGTTGCAGATTACTGTAGAGCAGGGGTGTCAAACTCATTTTACACCACAGGCCACATATAGCCCACTTTGATCTTAAGCAGGCCAGGGAAGCTCCCCTTTCTTTTTTTTTTGTCCCGTTTGGATCTTTAGCCATCAGAATTGTTGTCTTAAGGCCAAGAAAGATGCCAAGCGGATTTATTTTACCAAGTGGATCATCATGGCCTTGCCATATTGGTCCATTTGATTGACCTTTATTATAATTATGTATTTATTTTATTTTCGGTTGCAAACGGGACAGACATGACTGGGAGATAGGACAGGGAGAAAGAATGAAAGAAAGAGAGGGAGAGAAAGAAAAACAGAGGGGAGAAGAGACAGTGAGAAGGGGGGAAGAAAGGGAAAAAAAACAAACAAAACACCTGGATCACCTGTATGGAGAAAAAAAACAGAAGAGAAAGCAAACAAAAAAAAAAGCAACATAATAAATACAGCACCATCACAATAAACTAGCTAGCAGTAGATAACAGTAGATACTAAATATTAAACGCTATTGTGCAGCACGCAAGATAGACAGCGCACAATGTGCTTTGAGGCAGCAGCCAAGAAAGCTGTAGTCCGCGTCTGAAGTGTGCATGATAAAGAAAACGCTGCTGTGACAGAGAAAGAAACTTGTTAGCATGACTCTTTGGACTTAAATTGAAAAAGAAAAGTGTAAAATGGCAGAAAATGTTCTGGTAACTCATTGCCCGGATTGTCCAGGTTTTGTTTGTTTGTTTGTTTGCTGGGGGGGAATCTGTTTACCTGCTTTTTAATCATTTGCTATTTTAGCTGTTTGGTGGTTGCTCAAATGATTTTGTGAGTGTTGTGGAAGTTTTCCATTTAAATAAAGCCTGCAGACGAGCGGTGAGCGGTAGCTAACATTCTTTAATCCAAACACACAAAGAACAGAAAACCAAGCTTGTGGAGAGCCTGCATGACTGCGGGGCAGACGGTCAGCAGAGTCTCTCTGAGCCTAGCGTGGCTCTCAGTTAAATACCTTCTTCAGGAACAAAAGGCAGTACACAGCTGTTTCACACCTTAAGGTTCACACTCCCTTGCTACCTCCCAGAGTCCTCAAAGAGACAAAAGATTCTTCCTGTGGAGTTGTCTGCTTCCCCCAACTTCCTTACTACACCCCAACATTTGTCTTAATGTATGAGTGTGAGACTTGTTAAAATCCAGTGTCAGCAAGGCATTATACAATAAAATAATGTGATTAGTACATAAATAAAATAAATTCCTATACATGAGCTTTTAGCTTTATATATTTTATAAATTTTTTTTAGTCTATTTAATTTGTAAAATATGTGTACACACACACACACACACACACACACACACGCACACGCACACAGAAAATATTCCAGAAATGCATATACTATTATATATTGTTCATATATTTATTAGTTTCAGATGTAGCCATTCTTGTATTTTGCTTGTTTACATTATTGTATTTTGCACAACTCTGTTGCTTGTGAAGCTCGCACACAAGAATTTCACTCACATGTGCTGTACCAATGTACCTGCACATGTGATGTGACAATAAAAGTGATTTGATTTGATTTGATAGCTGAGATTCTGATGTTTCTGTGGATCCCACACATGTCTATATTTAAATAACAGATCTGGCAGTACATCCCATTAAACCAGATGTTCTCCCTCTTGTCCCCCAATACCATGAGCATTGGGTTTCAACAAGTTAATTGTTTATTGCTTAATTACTTTGTGTAGTATGAAAAGGGAGTTTTTTTATCACTGGGAAAAACTGAAAAAATTTAAAACTGAAAATACAGTTAAACGTCCAAAATTTCTTTTTTGTTGTGTTTCTAGAATTAGAATTATACAAGAATTATAAATGGCTTCAAGTGCACATTCAGGCCTGTGACACTCATTTAGACACTCAGATACTCAATATCGTTGAAATGCAGCCAGATGCTTCTGATTTTAAGTTTCCGCTCGTTTCTTCACTTTTCCCAACATGCTCGTGTTTAAATCCGACCTGTACACTGGCTGTCTTTGGAACATCTGCCCCCCTTCCTTTCCCCCCATGCTATGGTTCCAGTCTATCTTTGCGTGTTAGTGGCTGCATGGTGTGCCCATCAAAATAAAGCCCCACCCCTGCCTGTGTGGATTCTCAGCCAGGTTGAGGATTCGGCTTCCACATACTGACGAGCCATTAATAATCGAAAAATATGAAATACGTTTGACACCCCACCTCTAGAACCCTTAAAGTTCATTTTTAACAGGAAGAAAGAAACTTATCTGCAAATATACTGCTGTATATACAAAAAAACAAGCTTGGCACAATACATTTCAATTTTCAAAGTTGTATTATACACAGTACATGTTTCCCTGCACGTTTGCCTGTGCAATGAAAATCTTTCTTTGCTGTTCACAACAGTAAAGGCAAGTTTATCGTGCCATCACCACGTACTCAACTCAGCTGCTCAACCCATAAATGCATTTTCCTTAAAACTGTGCTATCATCTAAGAGGAACAGTCTTTCCAGATGTATAGAGCAGAACAAAGAAATAATTGCAAGTTTTTGCTTTTAGCTTCCTGTGATTAGGACTGGATTTAATCGAGCTGGATTGATCTGAACTGTATCATAAATGGAACCGGCACATTTCTGCCTTAATTTAAGATTTAAGTTCCTAGTGTTGATAAATCCATCCATCCATCCATCCATCCATCCATCCACCCATTTTCTGCTGTGTATCTGGGGCTATGTTGCCGGGGCAGCAGCCTTTTTTTTGCAAATTTCTTTACACAAACTCACGTTTTCAAACAGATGCAACATCTTCCTCTGTGTGTCTTTATGTCTCTTACATATACGCATCACGCGACACAAGCGATGCAGTGAGCATAAAAATGACCTACGTAAGTGTTCCCAGGCTGAGAGAAGTTATCCCTCTGGCATGTCCTCCTTCCTGTAGGACATAAGCGGAACACCTCACCCCCAAGAGGACTCCTAATCAGATGTCTGAACCACCACAGCTGGCCTCTTTCAATGTGGAGGAGTAGCAGCTCTACTCTGAGTCCCTCCCAAATGAGCCAGCTGTTTTTTCTAGATAAACTAAAAAAGAAAAATAATAGTTATTATTATATACTATAATAATTATATCATCTCTATCTAGTGCAGATCTTGTGTACCTGGACTGCTCCAGCACTTCCACATAAGTTTTAAACTTTTAAATGGGAATCAACTGTTTCTGTAGTGTGTTGCTTTTTTCACTTCCACTCCAGTCATGGGCAGAGACTTGAAACAGTGTTGGTGTTACAGTTTTTTACAATTTTTAAAAAGCCAGTAATTTTTTCCCTCGGTGCCTCCATGAAAGATGGACTAAGATATGAACTGTGAATAAGAGTCTGGGAGACAACAGGCTGCAGTCACAGCTCTTTCATAAAAAGAACAACTAACAGTGGAACAAAAATAGAAAAATACACATTTTCCTTCCATGTATCAGAGATTTCCATAAGTACTCTTAAGATATATCATGAAAGAAAAGGAATTTTAAAAATATAAATAAACTGGTTTTCAAAGGAACCACTTTAGTAGGATGTAAGTAGTGAGTGTGAACTTCATTTCTTCATTTATCTAGCTAATGTTGGTGTATAGGAAAATCTCGGTCAATTACAGCAACTACATTTAAGAACAAAAGAGGTAAAGCACCAGTACTGTATATTGCAATAGACCTTAGTACAGCACACCAAATTTTCAAATTGTCATGTCAGCATGATACCCTGCAGTCGAACTAGAGGAGGCAGAGAGTCAGATCAGGAAAACATCAGGAAAGTAGATTCTCTGTCACTCGCCTTCAACCCTGTCATCCATCAGCCTAACTAATGGACCTGGAAGTAGGGGTGGGGGGTGTATCAGCTGAGAGGAGCTTACAGGCTGCGGCAGTGTCTCCTACTGCTCTAATCAACATGCAGATGTATGCTGGTAAAAACCAGTCACCTCTCAGTCATCTGAACAGATAGTGATGCAGCTGCTTCCAGCATTAATGTGGGCTTCCACAGCTGCTGTTTACACTGCTGTGAAGGAGCAGAGGTGAATGATGGAGGGATCTAAGTCAATAAAATCAAGAGATAATGCTGGAGAGTCTCTCATAATGTGATGGTTGCAGACTGAAAGCAGAATAACTGACTGCTATAACAGAGGTGACTGGGTGTATGCTGATGATCATATGATTGTATATGAAAGATGGACATGCCACCCATTGATTTGTCGCAATCAGTTTTGGTGCTTTAACTTCAGATTCACAGCATCATAAACTGCAGTTTGTGTACATCGTACACAACAAAAAAAGCAGGCTTTTAATACTGATGATCAGGTCCACAATAAATATCCAATCAAACAGGGCAAGATGGAAGGGATAGCAAACCATTAAGCCATAATGATTAGACAGGACTTTAACAGAGAAAGTTACACTAAGCAGAATGGCACAATAAATACAACGACAAAGACAGAATTAATCACAGGAAACTGACTAAGGATTTGATACAGGAGGGTGACGAGCAACAGGTGAAGACAGTCAAGACAGCGAGTCAGAGGAGATAGTGAAACACAAAACAAGATGCAAGAAAATTATCCAAATAAGACAGGAAATGACAAAAGAACACAAATTAACACCGACAAGGAAACTCACTAGAAACTTGATACAAAAGGGAACACAAGAAGAAGACACTAATACAAAAATCTAAACCATAAAAACCTGAATAACGGAAAGTAAGAATTCCGACCTAAAAACATGATCAATCCAATGGATCATGTCACACTATCCCCATCTTTGTCAGAGCCACAACAGACTGGGAGAGGTTGAACTTGCAAATAGGCCATAGCTAAGCTAACTACATTGCAAAGCATATTATTCATCAGATACTTGCATTAAAATGCTCTAAAAGGTTGTTTTTTTTTTGTTTTTTGTTTTTTGTTTTTTAAAAGTCCAGTTTTGTGACCCTAATAAGTGGAAGTGATGTAGGAGGCAACCACTTATCCACCTGTCAAAAGTGCAACAAAAAGATCCATCCTATGGTTTGACTAAGGGAGCAACTAGCTGTAACAACCAAAATTGTTGTTGTAGACATGCCTTTTAAATAGATGTTAATGTAAATATGAGCATTTTTACAAGGCGGTCACTATAACATGAATGGAACTTTATGTTGAGCTCTGGAAATTGGGACTTTCAGGATTGAGCAGCAATTTGTGTCTTGCTGGTGCCATCACCCAAGTGAGCATACAATTCACCAACAGATAATCAGTAATGCAATCAACAAAACTGATTCGCTTAACAGAGTTCAAGTTAACATATTGCTAAAATGAACCAGGAGAAAAGTGCAATCTGCCTTTCTGTCTGCATGCTGCCAGTATATAAATGGAAGATTTCTGTACCTTTAAAATGGTGTGTGGATGATAATCAGATGATCGTAGCAACACACTAGCAACCTGTCCAGGTTGTACACCGCCTGTCACCTTGTGATTGCCCAGACTGGAAAAGCCAAGCCTGGACGTATAATCAGATCACATTGCATCTGCACTTCTGCATGCTGAAATTATTCAGCGTGTGGCAGTTTCCATAGACACGGATTTAACTAATAAATGTGTCCCTGTTAACCCTCAGAAAACTGGCTTCGCTATTACTAATGAACAATGGTATATGCATTCATAATATTTAATTGGAAGATTATACAACAAATAATGTACTTCATTATAAAATCTGCATCCTGAATGTTACTTTTTCTTTATAAATATAATTATTACTAATGGCCCACTCAGCTACTGTAGTTTGTGCATAAATGTTGGTGTTCATTTTGATATATGCAGTGTTTTGTTGTACACAATGTTTTGTTTGCCTTCGATAAGTTGTATTGTTTCTTCCTTATTTCCTTCTCTTCATTTTTATTGTGTCTCAGTTTCTTCCGGTTTTTCTTCTTTTGTTTTACATCTGAACTCTTTACCCCTCCCTTTTTTCTCCTCTTGTGTCTTGTCAGTAATTTATTATGTTTATGTTTTATTTACATCCTGTTTCTCCCATGCAAGTCAGTCTGTTTTCATACCCATCTACAAACCTCTGTTCAGTCACTGTGTATATTGACAGTGTTTCTTCCTTCACAAATAGGGGGTTATTTACTTACTTTTTTTAACTTTATCCATTTTGTTATTTGCTCTTTGAGGCCAACTCCTGTGCCCTGCCTTTGGATCCTCACTGCTCACTACACATTTTCTATCTTGCTCATTTTCTCTCTCCAGAGTCTGATGACCTGGATGCAGACCTATCCAGGTTGGCTTCCCTCGGTTTTACAGGCTGCCTGTCAGTTGTCCACTTTAACACCATCAGCCCTCTGAAAGAAGCTCTGCTCCGCCCCAACTCCAGCCCCGTCATCATCACTGGACCTTTAGCTCAGTCCAACTGCGGCTCCGCAGCTTCTGCCAATTCCTATTCAGCTGAGAACACACACCACCTGTCAGGTGAGAAAAGGAGGAGACATCTGACTTGTTATTATGTTATAATCTTTGAAAATATAAATATGTAACATTTATTAAAAGTTTTGGCTGAACATCTACATGTACAAATATAAAGCCTTTAAATGAAAACGTACCATCTTTTTTGCTTATGCTAGCACTTCAACTCCACAGGAGCTACGTCAACAATGCATTTCATCATCATAATATCAAAATATTTATTTCTCAGGACAAACGTTGAAGGGCAGTGTAATCGATTGCACTACAACAGTACACAGGCAAATTTATTACAAAAACTATGATGCAACGTAATGCAAAAACCAATCTGGCCAATGGGATTTGGAGTCGATTCTGCGATTAGGGTGGTATATATTTCCTGCTGTCTTTCATTTTTGCACTGAAACTGAATGAAAGCTGCAGCTCAGAAACGGCTTGTTAATTACGTGAAGTATGCTCCTTGTTTTGGGAGTCTAACGACAGTATGACTGATGATTTAATGAGTTTGAGACACAGGAGATTTGTTTGGGATTTCCATCCTTTGGGTTCTTTCTAATCCAGTTTGCAATGCTTTGCAGCAGTCACTTGTAGAGCTGAAGTAATCTTCTCTGATCTGATGGGTTGGTTTTTTTTGAGTCTCTGCTTTTCATTTTTGACTCTGATTTGATCTCATTTCTTTCTTTATTCTAATTTTGCCTCTTGTTGTGCTTCTTTCTTCTGGTGTGAATGATTTTGGCTGTTCTTCCTTGTTTTTATTCTTGAAGTCCTTTGGTTTTTCACATTCTTGTCCTTAGCTTTCCCCACCTTTTTCTTTCTCTCTCTCTCTCTCTCCTGTAGACCAGTCTGGTTCAGTGGGTTCAGGTGTACCCTTAGTCAATTCCATCAGGATTGACTCAGCCCTAATTGGAGGTACTAAACTGCTTTACCTTTGTATCTTCTTCACTGGACTTTACTTATAGCCATTTTCCACCCGTGCAGTGCTGGTGTACAGGCAGTTACACCTCGTTACCTACATTTCAAGAGATTTGTGCAACATTTTCAGCAGAGGTTTGGTTATTTTTGTGTGAGGAGAATGACAGCAAACAGAAATTGGCCTGCATCTGTGATTTGTTGGTGATTTTTTTTAAGCAACAACAAAATTGCTTGGCTTAAAGATAGAACTCCTGACATCGGTGTCCGTGTTATTTGTGGTGGAAAATTGGACACCAGCACTGCTTCAGTGGAAAATAGTTGTTTTATCATGTCAATCGTATTGCCCTTGACTAAAAATAATGAAATTTCATGTGCTTTTCTGGTGCCTTTTTATTTAAAAAAGTGATGAGTTCAAGCGAATCAAGTTGTGGAGAGAGGTTGAACTCCAAGAAAGAGTAAAGTGGTCTACCAGGCAGGAGTCCATTTAAAACTCATTTAAAACTTTGCTGCTCTGCCAGCACGGATTGATTCAAAGTGAAGACTGAAAAGGTTCAATCTATAATTGTGCAGATAGAAAAGGTGAGACTCAGAGAAAAGTCATTTAAAACTGTCCATTAAACCATCCAGTACACAAAGGGCAGCCCATCTAATTAAACCAATGTAGGGATGATTTGCTGATGGGAAAACTTTTTCTGCTCTTATCTTAAAACCTCTGGTCACTTTATAATGTAACGTAGTATGAAATTGATTTCAGATGGATTCTGGAATGCCAATTAAATGGAACCTGCTCTCGTATTCCCAAATGTGCTCAACAGAGCAGAAGAGCGTGATGGCTTCAAAAGATTTAAACTGGTGTTTAATGTTCTCTAAAGTGCGATTAGCAAGATAATCAAAACATTTAGAAATGGTACTACGAGGGGAAGAGTTTTCTTCCAATCCATACATCAGCTACAATAACGTCAGAACATTCAACCACATTGAACTCTGAAAGGTGATATCTGATATGCTACAAAATCCTTTTACCTTACAGGTGTCATTGCAGTAGTCATCTTTGTGATTGTGACTGCACTGGCGATAACGGCCAGATTCCTCTACCGGAGGAAGGATACATATCGTAACAAGGAAGTGAAGGGAGTCAAACAGGAGGACAGCCAAGACTTTCCTTTTAACAACCAGGCTGACTCCCAGAATCTCTCCACTGAAAACCCAAAGGAGTATTTCATTTAACTGGAGGCCCGATGACCTGATGCACTGCTGGGCTTTTGGACCCGAAGCTGCAGACAGACGCATCTTGACACGCCTTGGGACTTTGCAGTGCACTCGAGAGCCACTCAGACACTTCTATGACAGAAGTGGCTCTGCAGCATGTGAAAAGCAAAGAAGAACAATTTTCACAGTGTTGTCTTTCTGTTGCTTAATGTAAAATGTGAATACACTGATGCAACAGCGTTGGACTTTAAGGGTGTTGATATACTTGTTCAAGCAACTGTAAATATTCAGCAATGTGAAACACTGAATAATGTCTTTGTAACAATCTGGCTAATGTTGAAATGTTGGAAATCATGGAGGTAACAGTATTTTTATTGTGCATGGGCAGGGAGAGTGTGAAGCTGTCTTCTGTTTGGATTTCACCTGGAGAAAGATGGGGATAAACTCCAAACTGCCTGCGAGACATTTGCCTGCAATTCAAATGATCCAACAAAAGCTATCCATGGATATTTTATATTTACCTTTTTCATGTTTCCAGCTATTCTTCCCAGTAACTGGCTGTTTTTAACCCCTTCTCGAGTTTTCATTAACGTTTGTGAGGTCAGTGGTCTAAATATACAGTATATGCGAATTACATCCGTAGAAATTATTCCTCATCACACAAACACATTCCAAAGTTATGAGTTTGATCACTGTTGATGGAAAATGTGTATCCTGACAATAAGAAAGCAATGTTACCACAAAGGTTGTTATTGTCTTAGTGATTCAGGTGATGGGCCGTTGTAGGTTTTTTCACTCACTGTTCAGCCATTAGGCCCAAAGCTTTGTGTTCAAGCTAACCACTCAAAGCATCATCTTTGGTGTCAGTAGACAGCTGTATTCACAAAAAAAGGCCCACTGTGGTACCGGTGTTCTGACAAAACATCCTACTTTGTCAAGACATCCTACTGTAACGTAAATTATAGTCATGTCTATCAGTCTGTGCTACCTTATCAGAATATGCTATCTTACGTGGTTTATACCTCCATCGTACATAGGACGGTAGGACGTTCTGATGGCCAAATCACACTGCTGTTATTTATTTAGGTAGGACAAGGTTTAAGCTGTACGCCAGTTTACAGAAGTTTAGAAGTACTGAATCAAGACTTGAAATATGACTTTAATTGCGACTTCAAATTGGAGTATTTTTTCACAAAAAAACAAAACGCATGTTAGCTTGAAAAGTTAACAAATTGACAACAGCTTAAGGAAAACAAGTATCCATTGTAATAAAGAAGTTAAATATATAATACTAACCTTTTTTCACATGCATGAGATCAGGGTAGGATCAAAGAATAGGCGTGTAGTATTAACACCTAAAATATGGCCGTTTGTGCGCATGCGCAGTAACAACAAGTAGAACAGCTTGATAGGTAGGGTGTTTTGCCAGGACACCGGCTCAAACATCAGGCTCCGTGTGTAATGTAATGGAGCATTGAGCAGCAAAAGAGCCAAATATCTTTTTATGAGACCAAACCAGAACTAAAAAGATTTCCCAACTTGTTACACCGTCAGTACAGGATGTGTACTACAGACGTGCCTGGTCACCAATTTGCAATTATCATTTAAGCAAGAGATAAAAATTGACTAGTTTGCTAGTCTAAAGATTTCTTTAATTACATTGTGACACTGACTATTTGCTATGTTATACATGGCAGTGTGTCTGATTAGTTTGCTGAGTTTTTCCAACTGTACGATCAGTAGCTTTGATTTTTTTCCACTCCAGTATTCACATCTTGGTACAGAATATGGTTCTAATTAATTCTGAGAAATATGAAGGTCCAAAACACAGCCACTCTTTTTATTATATTATATTTTTTAAATCTTTTGTTCAGCAAAACAGTCATGGTTTGTATGGCTGTCATCTATTGGCTGTCTCGTTTGTTTATTTATAAGGCCATTCACCGAAAGAGAGAGACAGATAGGGGAGCAGCCGTGTGTCAGGGCTGCAGTCCTGGGATGTGGTTGGTTATATAACCAGAGCTGGAATGAAGAACTCTCAATACAGTAGCTAAAGTACAGTAGTACATTTTTCTCTGGGAAAGGCTGTGCACAATGGTATCCAAAATGTGTTTTTTTTTTCAAGTCTTAATATTATGACCCTAAAAATACATTCTCTAATTGATATGTAAGTTCATATCATGTGAACAGTTATCAAAGTCAGATGATTTTTTATATAATTTCAGTCTGACACTTTAATTCAGAAATTTTAAAACGGATGTGCTGAGTCAGCTAACCTTCTACGACGGGATGGAAATCAGTTCTTTTGTTCAGTGTAGCTCAAGAAATTCCTCATGAAAAAAAGAAAAATCATTAATAGAAGCCTTACTAACTTCACTGGATACTTCATGATACTATGACTTCATCCCTGTACATTTTCTGGATTGATTTAAACAAACCTTTATATATGTTTGTATCTGTTATAGTAAAGGTGTGACAGATGTAAGCCACAATTAGACTTTCAGCTTATTCTTTAAAGAACATCTTTTTAGGCTTATAGTTATTTTCACATATATGATCATATACATGGTGTTATTTTGATGGATTCTCATATTAAACACGGCTGCCAAAGATTGAAACATCTGTCTCTGAGAGACAAAAACTCACAGTTAAGACTTCTGCAAAGAGTCGCTTTGAGGCAGTTTTCTACTCTGTGCTCTGTGTGACAACAAAGATGGGGGAAATCCCTTATATGGTCATCACATACAGTAGTGATGAGCATAGATGCCCTGCTCATCAAATTTTTTGTTTATGAGCAACAGGAATCCAAAAATGTGGGCAGCATGGTGGTGTAGTGGTTAGCACTGTGTCCTCACAAGCTCTGGGTTTGAGTCCCGACTGGGGCTTTTCTGTGTGCAGCTTTTATATTCTTTTCAGGTACTCTGGCTTCCTCCCACAGTCATGAGGTGAGGTCACTATGGCAGCTGAAATAGGCTCTGGGATCTTGAATTGGAGGAGTAGTATAAGATGGATTGAGGAAATCAAAAGAAAGTCGGTTTAAAGTAGTTAAAACACCTCATTTCAGACAGGATGTCTTTATAAAGGTAAATTATTTAAAATTGTTAATCATGCAAAGCTTTAGTAGGTCCAAGAATTTTAAAAAAGGCGCTGCAAATTTGTATAATAGGGCCCCTTTAATCATAAAAAGACAGCACTAAGAGGAAACACAAATAAAAACCTTGATCATTGCTAGACTCCTATCACATGTGCAGTTTACTTAAAAAGTCTTTGCATCCTCCTCACTTTGCTGCCTCCACTTAAAAGTTTTCTCCTCCCTGCTGCATACTGCCTGCTGGGAGCTTCCTCACTCAGCTCCCTTAATGTCTTTGAACAGTGAAGCTTTTAACACCGACAGCGACACCGACTCTAACAGTGTGTCTGTCTGTCACCTCGCTCCGTACACGCAGAGGCAGTTAATGTGTTTTGGAAATGCTAATCTGCGTTGAGCTGACAGGTGGATTGTGATTCGATATAAAGCAGAGGGAGATGAGGAGAATCAGACAAAGATAATCTGGGAGACACTGCCAAGCATCCATGGCTATAATGAAAACAATTTCTGATATTAACACTTGAAAATGAAGCTAATCCTTCCATGTGTTAATCCAGCTCATGTGGAAAGAGGACTGCTGATAGAAGGATGAGAAACAGAGGGAAGCTTAACAGCAGCTGCTTCCCAAATACACACCACAGTCTCTGTGAGATCCAAAACCTCAGATGAGATTTTAATGAGAGAAGTTGCTCAAACTTTAAACTCACTCTCCTTGTGTATTTTGTCTTAAAATGTACTTTTGTCAACACTAATGACAGACACTGCGTTCTCCTGTATTGCAGTCTTCTCACTATGAACTTTATGCTGGAGTCGATAAGTGGTCCCCATGCTGCAGATCATTTCTGCTGCACTCACTTTTAACACTTAGGAGTACAAGTGAGATGTGTTCAGGCCAACAAAGCCTAGTAAAGTGGTTAGACTCCGATAGCCCATCCCAGCAGTGATTGGGGTGTCCTGCACAAATCCTTGAGTCTAGACGCTGACGGTGGAGAAAGAATGACAGATATGCAGTAAGATCTAAAGTCAGAGGAGCAAAGGCTGGTTGGCCAGAAGAGGACCGGCAGAAGATAATTGGACTACACCAGTGATGTCACAATAAGCTTGACAGCGTGGGAAAGTGGAAGTGATGTCAAGCTTAGTTTATCCCCCAACACCTGGAAGGCAGGCAGATGTGTGACTCCTAAGCTTCATTTTAATGCAGATGCAGCTTAAATGACCATTTCCAATCAACTGGTGTTTAAGCTGATAAAAGTAAACCAAATGTTTACACAAGTAAACACACAGCAAAAACCGAACACTTTGGGTTGATGGAACGCATCAAAGAGACCATTGTGTTTACCTCCAGTTCGAAAAACTATAGGGAGTGGAGACCACAGGCCTGCGTCCTCCTGACACACAGAAGGCCTCCACAGCAGCAACAGCGTCTTAGATCCACGATACCAGCTCCTCACTCGACACACATGTGCTCTCTCACAAATGTTAATGGAATTCTTTTTCCCCTTTTAACTGGAAAACCGTGCTTCCAGGCAGCATGGAGTTTTTCCTTGTCATTTTCCTCTGCGCCACACCTTCACGCGCACCGAGCTGCAGGTGATGCCTCCAGGCCAAGCCTGGAAATTAAACTACCAGACGAGAAACTACAATGCATTCAAAGAAACGTGTCTTTCTGAGTGCTGTAAATTTTATCAGGGTTACACAGGAGATGTATCAATATCACTTTGGAAAGGTTGCCAATCTGTTGCAGAGCCAACACTGGGAGATATACAACAATTCACGCTCACATTCACACCTATGGGCAATTTAGAAACATCAATTAACCTAGCTGCACCAGTTGCATGTCTTTAAACTCTGGGAGGAAGATGGAGTTTCCGCAGATAACCTACGAAGAACGGGCAGAACATGCAAACTGCACACAGAAAGGAAAATTTAATATTATGAGAATTAAATTTTTCTTCAGGTTTTTATTTTTTTTTAATTTTTCAAAGTCTAAAAGAAAAATTCACAGAACAAAAGAAGGACTTTGGTTCAATGAAAATAAAATATTGGCCAAAAAGATATCGTATGGTTAACACTTCCTCTGAGTTTAAACTGTTTTTTCTTGCACTATTTTGGACAATAGGTATGATTACTATTATCATTAATTATACCTAAAGTTGCACAAGGTGTTACAATGTTCATTTAAGATTTATTGAATTCGGTGTAACAAGGAAATACATTTATGTGCTGTAGTTCATGGTAAATTGTGGCGTATTGGAGTGTGGCCTCAGGATCACATCTCTGCTTTTTGCAGATAATATGGGTCCTGCAGTGCCCTCCAAGCACTTAGGCAGTTTACAGAGGGTGAAGAGGCTACAATGAGAATGCAAAAGTCAGAAGTCTGAGACCATGATGGAGTGCTCACTACAGGTCAGTGACGAGTTGTTGCCCCAAGTGGAGAAGGTTAAATCTCGGTGGATAAGTGAGGTGAGCAGAAGATTGGTTTCGAGTCCACACTCACTGCAAACATGGCTCCACCAAATCTGTCAGTTTGTTGTAGTAAAGGTGTTAGTGTGCAACCCATATCCAAAGTTTACCTGTTATTTTTTTATTATTTTCACTAGTTTTCCTAGGATGTAGCATGTAAATTAGAATTACAAATTTATTTTGCATGCATTTCCCAAAATTATATTAGGCAATATATGGAATACGGTAAATACAAAGTAAGTCCTGAAAACAAAATCTTATTTTATGTAGTATTGCAGGAGTGTGATATTAGAATTTATTTAACATATATTTAATAAGGTTAATTAAAAATTACATTGTAAAAACTGTCCTTGACGGTTTCCAGAGATTATTTTATTCTTTAGCACTGAATACATTTAAACTGCACTTAACCTTTAACCGTTGGCTAGCTTTCAGTAGTTTGAGAATCCCTCTGATGGCTGATTCCTGTTAACATGAGCAATTTTAGAACCCAGAGTTTAGGGAAATATGTAAAGCTGTGAAGCATCGAGGAGCAGAGCATGCCAAAGTGATTCTTTGTGAGGAGCCATATCTTCTTTCTGCCTGTTTAAAGGTCTCAGACATCTGGAGTTAGATGATGATTCTGCTGCCTCAGATCAGTAATCTCTATTTACCATCAGTGGTTGTAATAAGAGACCAGATGTGAAGCTAATAACTGAAATATTTAGCACTAGTTTTGACATCAAAGATATAGTGAAGGAAAATAAAATTCAACAGGTATATAAAAAAAAAAACTAATTGGAATTTAAATGATAAATATTCTCTCATCTTTAGTGGTGCAGTATATATATAATGGCCACATTTTGACACAGGTTGAGTTGTAGTCTGTATCTTGAAAAGGTATCAAAGCAGGACTGGCTCTGCAACAGCAATAGGTCACTGGAAAACAGGTATTGGATGTCAGGTAAATACACTTATTTTCTGAATTCTGAACCTTTAAGGAAAGCTAAACCTAAAATCACAACTGAACAAGATACAGATGCAGAACACAAGAAACCAGGAATGTTGCAAACACAAGGACCTTAAACAAAAGTCAGATAACATTCTACAAGCGCCAGCTAATATACAAGCCTCTAAATCACCGTGCAAGACTAGGATCCAGTGGACTGAGTTCTTCTTCTCCTTTTCTTCTTGTAAGTATTATTGGTGGTTGGCAAGTGGGCTGAGTTGACAAGTAGCTGGGGAGTTACCAATGGTGGAAATGGGGGGAAATGAACCTAAACCAGACACCAAAAAGATGTCTGATGAAATGAATAGTAAAGACATTTACTAGACTATAATTGAACATGGCCCAGAGCAGGGTTTGTTTAGGAGCAGGAGTCTGCCACAAGGAAACTGAAAATAATCTTTTTATACTTCACATAAATGTATTCAAACGCTAGAAGGCAACTGTAAGGCTGAGGTTGATTTAGATGATTGTGACAAGTTTTACATGCTGAAATCCACACCTGTGATAATGGCCCAGAAATGCACGCTGAGGAACAGAACCTCCTTGCTAGGTTGAAAGGGGAGTTGAGACAGCAGGCCAGAT